CAGCTGGTGGATGTTTGAAATGTGTGCATTTTTTGTTTTCCTGTGTGGCTCATTTCAGCTGGGTATGTTTTTTTGCATTTTTTAGTGTTTCTTTCATGCATAAGTAAACATGAAATTTATGTTATGCCCAAATTATTCCCTAATATATCCAATGCATTGGAACAAATCTGAATTTTCCAAAAAAAAGTCAAAGCAAAACTAACTGTCAGAAACCACTGTGTATAACATGTACTAGCTAATAGTAAGTGCCAGGCACTGTGCTGTAGATTCTATGTGAATTATCTCTCAACAACATGACGAGTTAGATATAATTGTTAACCACGTTTTATAGGTGAGAAAACTGTGGCTCAAAGAGGTAAAACTTGCCCCAGGTTACAGCGCTAGGCCAGGGTAGCTCTCAGTGAGTATGCCATTCTCTTTCCTGAGCAAAAAAACAAAACAACAACAACAACAAAAAAACCCAACAAAGTGGGGCAAATATTTACAAATATATAAGAACGAGCAAATATCCATAATATATGAAAGTTTTTTAAATCACTAAAAAGAGAACAAACAGCCCAGTAGAAAAATGAACAGAGGTCAAGAGCAGGCAATTTACAAAGAAGGAATACAAATGGCCAATAAAATGGGGGGGTGATGTTTGACCTCATTTAATACGCATTCATGTAAATTAGAATAATTAGATGTTGTTTTTTCCCACTATCAAATGGACAGAAATATTGGGTTGGCCAAGAAGTTCATTCGAGTTTTTCCATAAGACGTTACAGAAAAACTTGAACTTTTTGTCCAGCCCATTAAATGCAGGGAAACACTGGCAAGTGTATAGATTGTTGTAACCTTTCCAAAGTATATATACCTGTCATTTGACCCAGCCATCTAATTTCTAGAAATTTATCCTAAGAAAATAATCAGATAAATGGGAAAAGATGCTTGTTCAAAGATTTTTGTCAGAGTTGTTAGTAATGCTGAAAAGATGAAAGCACTCATCCATCATCACTAAGTGGTTAAAGTCTGGTGCATTAATATAATACAATACAGTGTATTGTTCCCAAAGGGAGCAGGGACAAAATAGCATCTTCAGCGTGATCCCACTTTTGTAAAACCATCCCACACATGTGCACACTTGTGTTTGCAAGCAAGCCTTGTATAGGAAGAAGTCTGGAAGGATACACATCAAAACATTGGCGGTAAATGTCTCAGGGTGGTGGAATTGCTGGATGATTTTTTTTTTTTTTGGCTGTGTTGGGTCTTTGTTGCTGCACGCGGACTTTATCTAGTTGTGGGGAGTGGGGGCTACTCTTCTTTGCGGTGCGTGGGCTTCAGTATATGTGGCACACGGGCTCAGTAGTTGTGGCTCACAGGCTCAGTTGCTCTGCGGCAGGTGGGATCTTCCCAGACCAGGGCTCGAACCCGTGTCCCCTGCATTGGCAGGCAGATTCTCAACCACTGCACCACCAGGAAAGCCCTGCTGGATGATTTTTATTTTTTCATATAACTTTTTTCTAAATATTTTGGTAGCGAATGTTACTTTTATGATTTAAAAAAAAATTATTTTAAAACATTTTCTAACACAAGATCCATAATAAATTCAAAATATAAGAATAAATGACTTCTGTAAAAGTAGTTCTTCTGGCACCTAACAGGGCTAGGTAACAAATACCCATTGAGAGAAATCTTGACTGACTTCAGTTTGGAGACAACGTTACCCCATTTGGGGCTTCCGATTCTTTATTCTTGACCAGAATTAATCTGACCAGATTTCGAGTTACCTCATTCTGAGGTAGATGCCACTAGACTGAGCCAGACACAGTGGCTTATGTTACCTCTAGGTCGCGAGCTCTGTAAAGTACAAGTGAACTTGGGGTCCCCTTGGATGAAGCCTGAGACTGTCAGGCACAGGTGACAGCCGGAGCCTCTAATTTTGGTTATGTGATCAAAACCCAGGTATAGTTTCTTGGGGCCCAGCCTACTTTATCAAGCAACTTAAATCTTAGTTTATGAAGCAGCTAAACACAGGAATATGGCTTGGTGGGGGAGGGTGGCTGACAGGAGCCCCGCCTCGAGGTGAGCTGGGGTTTGCAGGCCCGGGCCGCCGACCCAGCTCCAAGGAGGCCCGTGTCTGGCCTTCCATGTCTAGCCAAACTTCATTTTCAAACCTCCATAAAAACTGCCTTGGGCTTCCCTGGTGGCGCAGTGGTTAAGAGTCCGCCTGCCGATGCAGGGGACACGGGTTTGTGTCCCGGTCCGGAAGATCCCACGTGCCGCGGAGCGGCTGGGCCCGTGAGCCGTGGCCGCTGAGCCTGCGCGTCCGGAGCCTGTGCTCCGCAACGGGAGAGGTCACAACAGTGAGAGGCCCGCGTACCGCAAAAAAACAAAAACAAAAACTGCCTTCTCCCAGGCCTCTTTCTCTAGGTTTCATGGCTCTCTGCAGACACGACAGCCTGTGTGTCCGTAGCACACGAATGATTGAATGATGGGAGCAGGGAAGAGCCAGGAGACGAGGGGAGCTCCCGAGGTGTAGCCCCCAGGTACAGAGCAGATCTGCGCCTGGGTGGGCCTCGTTCCACTTACCGGGGCCTCCCCTTCTCTGCCACCGCAGACCAGACGGGCCCCCGGGAGGCCCAGCGCGCCTGCTGCAGCAGTGGCTCAAAGAACCTCTCCGTTGCTTCTTCCTTCACATGCTCAGTCTTAACGGCTCCTCGGTGCCCCTCAGCCCCGTGCCCATCTGCCTGGCTGGAGATAGCTCCCTGGAGCTCCTCGTGTGGGTCGAAAAGGATTTTTTTTTTAATTTAAGCAGTCGCATTCCATCTGCCTACACACACTTAACCTGCTTTGTGACCTCCGTACGTTACTTCACCAGCCAGCCCACGTCTCCCCGACAAAAGGTTCTAGAGAGCACACGACAGGATAAGTGGAGCCGAGTGCCTGTTCAGTGGGGCTTCAGAAGCACCACTGATAGGGACCTTTGTAAGTGTCTGCCCCCACCAAGCACTGTGCATCAATTTTCTTATTAATCCTCACCACAGAGAAGCCAAGTGAGTCTTCTTGTGGCAGCCTCCTGTAAGGAAACGGGGGTGTAGAAAGAAGTGACTTGCCCACGTTCACACAGCTGATTAGATGGGCCCTTTGAGACCCACCTAGTACCAAAGCCTGTGCCCATCTACCCTCTGGCCTCTTTTGCCCTCCTTAGCTTTCCATGGCTTAGAACAACCAGCCAGGGAGTGATGTTCTTTTGGCTCACAAAGTAGTCCTCTGTGTTGATTCCCCAGAGGCAGGATTTTATGGGAGTTCTGGAAAGCTCAACGAATTATTAGGTTTCTCTTAATTTCTTAAAGCATTTTATAATATTGTGTTGTGCTTGGAATGTGTCAGCACCAAGTTGTGTTTTGTTTAAATTTTGTGCTGAGTTTGAGGGTATTTCTTAGTTTAATCATGTACAAGGAATTGGAATTTGTTGGTACAGGTTACAATATCTGTGGCATTCTGCCCATTTCTCCCTCCCACAGATGACAGGCTGAGTGGGGACAGAGCAGAGTGTCGAGGTGTTGGTAAATAACACCACTGTGTAGTCATTTAATCTTGTGGGATGCGGTCTTGCCAGCAGGTTGAACTGACTGAACACTGAACATGCTGAACTGCTAAGCTTCAGTTATCCTGTGTGGAGGTCATGCTAGAAACCCCTGGTAGCTTTCTGCTTGCCTAACATAAGACTCTTTATAGCCCAGATTCCTCCCCCCCCACACACACAGACACACACACACACTGCTAGAAACCTGGGAGGGACTTGCTGGTGGAGGTTTGACGAATGAATGGAGACAGTGTTTGGGGGCTTTGTTTTTCGTTTTTGTTTGTTTTTTCTTTTTGGTGACTAAATCAGAGCATCCTGCAGCCTTGAGGGTTTTGAGAGGAGGGTGCCAGAGTTTAGGAACAAGCAGTAGCTTTTGGGGAATGTGTTGGAGAGGAAAGGGGAGAGAATGTGGACAGGGTAGAGAATTGTAGATCTGAACATACCTGGGTCAGAGTTGAGGCCCCAGACTCCTAATGGGGAGCAGCCCTATGGGGAGGAAGGAGTCATGAGAGATGAGTTGTTAGTCGTGGATTAAGTTCGATTTGGGTAAACCATTGGGAGGATGAAGCAGGGGAAGAGGCCCTCTGGGCTGGGAATTTAGGGGTCCTGGGTACTTGGAGCATGATCTGTCAATAGAAGGTGGCATGGTCTGCAGCGGACACATCCCCTTGCTCCACAGGCTCCTTGCCCAGAGGAAAGGGGCACAGCCAGAGGGGTCCAGGGCCCGGGCTGTTCTGCCCTGACCTTCTGACAGTGAAGGCACTGGGGTACAGTCGAAGTAGACGAGGCTTGGAGGCAGAGAACTGCTTCTAATCCTTGCTGTGCCCTGATGAGCTGTGTGACCTTTGCCGAGTTATTTCCCTGTCCTGGACTTCGTGTATGATCTTTCCATCCATTCCACCTCTAAAGTTCCATGACTTGGAGGTCATCAACTTTATCATCCCCGAGTGTTCCTGAGGGTAACAACAGTGCGCGGGGATATGCCCATCTTGGAGAGAAGGCCCGGAGTCTGCCTGTGGTGAGGAGAGTTGGGGTCTGGGGACTCCCCTGCCATGGGGAGCAGTGCTGAGACTGGAGGTGGCCTCACAGTACAAGGCTGCTGAGCTCCAAAGACTCAGGACAGCGATATCCCAACCGTAAAATGCGACCAGCCATACCCTCCAAGAGGAACATTCACGCAGCACAGAGGTAGCTCCTATTAGGCCTGGTACAGACAATGAGGAAGTGGGTAGAACAAGCCTGGAGGTGGTGAGGAGGGAGAAGATCAAGCAAGTGAAGCCCTGTCCCACTCGCCACGTGAGAGAGAGGCGACCCACCTCTGCAGTGTCTTGGGAAAGCTATTGGATTTTCATGCCTCGGTTTCTTAAGCAAATTTGAAAGTTAATAGATATTTTGGTTGGCATTAGAATTACTCCTTTCCATTTGCTCACAGAGATGCTGCAGTTTGTCAGCAATCAAGTGGGAGAGTTCCCTGACTTGTTCTCAGAGCAGCTGTGCAGCTCCTTCCCTGGCGGCGGTGGAAGTGGCAACAGCGGCAGCAGCAATGGCGGCAGCAGCAGCGGTGGCGGAGCCGGAGCTGGGGACCCCTCGGTGCAGCGGTCCTTCAGCCAGGTCCCGTTACCTTCCTTCTCGCCCTCGGCTACCTCCCCCCAGGCTCCAGCCCTACAAGTCAAGGCTCCCCCCACCGTGGTTCCCCCTCCGCCAAGGGCAACTCCCGTTCTTCAGCCCCGCCCCCAGCCCCAGCCCCAGCCTCCAGCTCAGCTGCAGCAGCAGACAGTAATGATCACCCCGACATTCAGCACCGCTCCCCAGACGAGGATCATCCAGCAGCCTTTGATATACCAGAACGCAGCTACCAGCTTTCAAGGTGACTCAGAACTCAGATGTGATAGCGACTGATTGGTTCAAAAGTTTTTGTGCCAGTTTGCAGACACTTCCGAGGTAGACTGTAAATAGTTCTGTCCTCTCTGGGGATGACACAGCCTATCAACTTGGCCCTGTCTGAACGAGGTTTCAGTAGCTGGCCATATGCATAGTGGTGCAGGAACACATTCGGTCTCTTCAAATACCTTAATGTCTACTGTGCCTGTTTCAAGGATGCGTGGTCAGAGACTCCAACGGGCACAGTAGCCACAGGGATGTCCTGGTAACTAGAGGTGGGGGCTTGAATAAAATTAGTCTTGAAACTCACCCAGGCACCAGGAAGATCTCAGCACCTGTAGGTTGAGAACCATTCATCCAGGAGACATCTCCTGAGCATCCACTGCAGAGAAGAGTACGCCTTTTAACATAGGTGCCGTGTCTCCGAGTGGCGGGCCTCACAGTAGGCCCTCGGTGTGTGCTGAGTGAATGAGTGACTTTCTGTGTTGTGCTGTGTCCCGGCACCTTTTCATCAGATTGCTCTCTGACCCTGTGGGGACCCCTGGGTGGGATTAGTATTGCTCTACTAATTTCAAAGGATCTGACAGGTCTTTAATGGGCTTCAAGGGTTTAGGGGCTGGGGGGAGGCCCCAAAGCGAAAAGCTGAGACCGTCATCCCAAAGTGCACCTTCCATTCATTTCACCGGAGGAAATGAAGCCCCAGGGAGTTGGCTCTCAACACCTATTAACTCCCTTGCTGGGTGCAGTCACTTGCTTATTAGCTTCCCTCACCTCCACCCCAGCATCGGAGTAATGAAATAATTTGTACTCGTTCCCTCAGAAATTGATACAGCCCTTATGGGATGTTCTTGTCATCTAGACCAGCTTGTAAATGGCTGTGCACATCTTCTTCAGCAAGAGGTGGGGAGTTGGGATCGTTCGGAGGCACTCCAGCCTCGGTTATTGCCACAGCTGCGGTGACAGAATGCATTCCTCGTCCACGTGACTTTTTTTCCTCCTCTTTTCCCAAGTCCTTCAGCCTCAAGTCCAAAGCCTAGTGACATCCTCCCAGGTGCAGCCGGTCACCATCCAGCAGCAGGTGCAGACGGTGCAGGCCCAGCGGGTGCTGACGCAGACAGCCAATGGCACGCTGCAGACCCTCGCCCCGGCCACGGTGCAGACAGTTGCTGCGCCCCAGGTGCAGCAGGTCCCGGTAGGTGGCTGACAAGAATTCAGGGAGGCCTTGGTTGGGGCTCTTGGCCGGCCTGTGGTTGAAGATGTGGTCTACATGCTAAGCAGGACCAGCGGAGTGTGAGGGAGCAGTTTGCAGGGCAGGTAGGGGCACCTGGACCTTACGAGGCACCCGTGAGACCTGGCAGAGAAGACGTCTGCAGATGCACACCAGCACCCACCTAAACTCAGTAAATGCTGGTGTATTAACTCATTTACACATGTAATGGGTATAAAACTGAAAAGAAATGTACCAGAATGTTCTTAAGCTGTGTATCATAGTGGACTGTATTTCTAACTAATGAAGTAAGTTAGCTTTAAAAAACAATCCAGGTTTACCATTTTTGCTTCCCAGCCGTTTTCCTCACATTCCTAAGTTTGTCCACAATCAGGTCTCTCTTCCTTCCACTGTCCACCCGAGCCATGCTTGCTCTGCCCCTGCTAGGCCGCTGGCACTGCTCTCCTCAAAGCCTTTCAGCCTTCCAACCCAGAACCCTCTTTAGCTGTACGCCTTCTCCCCAGCAACCCAGTAATCAAGCTACATTCTCAGTTTTATGAAAATTTTATTTTCTCATTCTTTTCTGGAGGGTCTATGCAGGAAGAAGTAATACAAAATAGAAAAGTAATGCTACCTTCCTTTTCCTTTTCTTCCTTTTCCATCCAGGTCCTGGTACAGCCTCAGATCATCAAGACAGATTCCCTTGTTTTGACCACACTGAAGACAGATGGCAGCCCTGTGATGGCCGCAGTCCAGAACCCAGCCCTCACTGCCCTCACCACCCCCATCCAGACAGCTGCCCTTCAAGTTCCGGTAAGAGCTGCCCCCCCCCACCCCCGCTTCGTGGGGGTTTTAGGCCTCAGAGATGGTAACGAAGCCTCCAGATACTGAATAGATGCGGCAGCTCTATGCAGTATGTCAGTCAGATTGCAAAATTAGCCCATTTTAGTTTTTTTCCCCTTAAGAAGCACCAGCACCGAGTTATGTGGGAGCTCTAGCGTTTATGAGGGGCAAGAGAGGGACAGCAGAGGAGCCCCGGTTTCTGGGCAACAGCTCCACACAGGACCATCTGCCTCTTAGGTCCTACTGATGGAGGTTCAGCTTCTGAAGGACCCAAGGCCCCCCAGGCAGGGAGGGGCTCCAAGGTGGGGGACATGAAAGGCACCCGTACTTCAGTTGTAGGATCTTGGCCACTGTCTCATCTTGTGGTAAGAGAGTCTGAGACGAAAAAGTGATCAAAATTCAAAAGCAAGCCTTACTCATGAAAGCCAAGAACTAGAAACAACCCAACTATCCATCCAAAAAGAACTATTGATACATACAACTACGTGGCTAAACCTCAAAAATAGTACACTGAGCAAAAGATGCTTATCACAAAAGAGTTCCTGCTGCAAGGTGGGGGACATGAAAGGCACCCGTACTTCAGTTGTAGGATCTTGGCCACTGTCTCATCTTGTGGTAAGAGAGTCTGAGACGAAAAAGTGATCAAAATTCAAAAGCAAGCCTTACTCATGAAAGCCAAGAACTAGAAACAACCCAACTATCCATCCAAAAAGAACTATTGATACATACAACTACGTGGCTAAACCTCAAAAATAGTACACTGAGCAAAAGATGCTTATCACAAAAGAGTACCTGCTGATGATTCCATTTATACAAAGTTCAAGAAGATGGTGCTAGAAGTCAGAGCAGTGATTACTGATCTGGGGGAAGGGGCATGAGGGAACTTTCTAAGGGGATAGAAATGGTCTGTGTCTTGGTCAGGGTTACCTTGGTTACACACATTGTATACATACGTCACAATTCCATTAAGCTGTACACTTAAAATGTGTGCTTTTTACTATGTGTGAATTATTTCTTGATGACTAATGAAGTTAAGAAGCTTTTAGTGTGTTCATTGGCCATTTGGATATTGAGGCCATTTGTTGAAGAAAATAAAACTAAAAGTAGTGAAAGCAGAAACAAAGAGCAGGAAAAGCAGATTTGAGGGGAAAACAAGGGGAAGCCTCTCTAGTTGGTCTGTTTAATAAAATGGCTCTGGGGCTTCCCTGGTGGCACAGTGGTTGAGAGTCTGCCTTCCGATGCAGGGGACACGGGTTCGTGCTCCAGTCCAGGAAGATCCCACATGCCGCAAAAAAAAAAAAAAAAAAAAAAAAAAAAAGGCTCTGATTGTCACTTCTGCCCTTGAGCTTTTTGATGGGCAAATCGTATAAGGAAATGCAGTAAGTTAACTTCACTGTCATGTGAGAGGAAAATACGTGTCATACATCAGGAGAAAGTTTTGTGGTTGGTGCATTGTATGCGAGCTCAGAGGTGGCTAATGGGTCGACAGCAAAGCAGGAATCACATGACGTGTTTCTTGCATCCCTACATCAAAGGTTGGTGTTTATCCACATTAATGCTGTTGTGGCACATGACTAATCAACAGTGATTCTGAAAGGGGCATAGTACCTGAGGTACCATGGCTCCTAAGGCTTCTGGACTTAATTAACCCAGGAAGTGTGTCAGGCTACACAAAGCGTTTTCAGGTGATGCCACGTGGCCAGGGACAGTGGGTTTGTGTTGCGAGGTTGCTTTACTCAGACTAACCAAGTGGTCATTCTGCCCTTGTGTCTGTTCTAGACCCTGGTGGGCAGCAATGGGACCATTCTGACCACAATGCCTGTGATGATGGGACAAGAGAAAGTGCCCATTAAGCAGGTACCTGGGGGAGTCAAGCAGCTCGAGCCCCCCAAGGAAGGAGAAAGGAGGACGACACACAACATCATTGAGAAGCGGTATCGCTCCTCCATCAATGACAAAATCATTGAGTTGAAGGACCTGGTCATGGGGACAGATGCCAAGGTAGGTGCCAAGCAAAATGGTATTTCATGCCCCATCATCTCCCCTCTCTCTGTCTTTGCTGCAGGAATTTAGGGAAGACCCAGGCCCAGGCTGAGTGAATGCAAGAGTAGTTAAAGGTGCTCTCTTACCAAAGCATCTTGGTGTTTTGAAATTCCAGGATTATAAAATATTAACTGTTGGGTGTTGGTAAGGCAGTGGCCTGCCTGGACCTTTGAGTCTGCTCTGCAGTGGTGGTGGCCACCCGCCCGCCCCCCCCCACCG